CTCTCTCCTCTCTCCCTCCCTCCTCTCTCTCTCCTCTCGCTATGTCTTCTCTCTCTCTCTATATATATATATATATATTTATGTAATATAATTAAAATCTATCCGCGTGCCCTTATCATAAATTCAAGCGTCTAACCCATATTCGCCGCATCGAAATGATCGCCGAGCGAAATGCAATCGTCTCTCCCACCTCTCTCTTCCTGTTCCGCAGGANGCATTCTCTACTACATGTACAACGTCATCTTCCCATGCATGATGATGTCGTGGTTAACTCTGCTCGTCTTCTGCCTCCCTCCGGACTCCGGTGAAAAGATAGCTCTCGGCATTACCGTGCTGCTCGCCTTCTCCGTATTCGTGTTGGCCATAGGCGAGAAGATGCCCGAAACTTCCAATTCAGTGCCACTCATTGGTAAGTATGGCGGTGGTGATGGCGGGGACGGTGGGGAGGCGGGGGCGGCGGCGGTGGGAGTGGCGGTGGCGATGGCGAGGCAGGGCAGTGGGGGAGGAGGGGGCGATGGGGAGGCAAGGGGTCGCGGGGGAGGCAGGGCGGCAGGGGTGGCGGAGGCAGTGGCAGGGTGCGCGGGGGGTGCGGAGTGCGCGGGGAGCGCGGGCGCGCTTATGTGTACCACGACCGGCATTCGTTGAACATACGAATGCATAATAAATAAATAATAATAATAATAATAATAATAGTAGTAGTAGTAGTAGTAGTAGTAGTAGTAGTAGTAGTAGTAGTAGTAGTAGTAGTAGTAGTAGTAGTAGTAGTAGTCGTAGTCGTAATAGTAGCAACAACAACAACAAAAAATAAAAATAAATATAACAAATATTATTATTATTATTATTATTATACTCGCACTCATCGAGTTTCCACATGCATTCAGGCTTATTTCATAATCTTACGTGAAATGACATAAGCTTTGTTTACGTATATACGGAACGCAAAGATTGGAAGAACAGCTTTCGTTTTTCCGTTTAACGTATAAGTTCAATGTATTTCAAAATACACCCCAGCGTATGACGTCATTGATGACGTCGTTGTGACGTCGACGTGTTCAATCTTGTTTGCCGGCTAACCGCATTCATCACGAAACAAAAGAACGCTCTTTTCCATCGCCCGCTGCTAACTAGGTTTCCGTCGATTGGCTTCCGCCTGTAATTTGTTTCGTGTTACTGAAGCTGCGAATTTTCTAGCGTCTATCGAATTGCAACCCAATTACAAACTTTGCTAAATACTAGCTATAGGCTATTTGGCATGAAGGGTCGTGACTCCATGAGACGTTTTTAACCTTGTTTCAATACACTAGAACGGCATTTATTTTCTTCCGCGTTCTGGAGAAATAATTATAAGAGTTTGGGTGTATAGAAAAGCCCGATTTAGATAAATATGTATACGATGTGCAATCGCACATTTCCTTCATCACTGGGAGGTTTGCGCTCGGGACAATTAAATTAAATCTATAGAAAAATCAATATATAAAAAAGTCCTAAAATATATTAAAGGACAGATACCGCAACGGATGCGGGAATTTCGAATAAACATGCACACAATTCCGACACCGTACTCATGTATAAGCGCATGCCTTATCGTATGCACTTACTACGTAATATTCTCCATATCAATACCGAATTGTAGAATATGATTAAAAATTTACGTTTCGGTAAATGTTTGAATCAATAGCTGTCGAGATCTACTTACGATTGCTTGAACACGACATCGCTGCTTGATTATTTTTAATCTGTAGCAACCCCCTAACCTAACCATTACTCCTATCCTAACCCTAAACCAACCCCAAACCCAACTCTTACCTTTACCCTAACCCTAACGATAACCCCAACCTTAACCCCAACCCTAACCCAACCCTAACCCCAACCCTATCCCCAACCCTAACCCCCAACTCTAACCTCAACCCTAACCCTAATCCTAACTCTAACCCCAACCCCAACCGTAATACTAGCCTTAACCATCTAGATTAAATATCACTCACTATTGGTCGGCTGGGTGATTGACAAGTATGTATATTATTTCTAGCCGTTCCAATTTCCTGTCAAAGCAACATGTGCTTTGTTTAAGGGTAAGACGATTTATACTGTAGGACTAGCATCGCAATATATGACGTAAGATCGACTGGTGGAAAAAGCACGTGCATGGCAGCCAATTCGGCTATCTCACTCATATGTTTCAAATGTTAATGTCCCTCAGTACTTTAACCCGGGAATTACTATGGCGCACGAACAAATATCATTAAACGGCTTTTTTGCTGATTAAAATGCGTGCGAAAGATCGAAGAGAATTGATTGCCGCGGAAGATAAACAATAGACATTCGATTACGATATTGGCACTATAAAAATTTGCATTGAAATTTGTTCGACTACAACGTGACTGCATCTACAGTATAATGTTAACGATAGCAATTACGCAAAAAATCTATCAGCGCTGACAAATACGGCCACAAATTAAAGTAGCTATAGTGAAAACAATTAACCAAATAACATAAAAAGCACAACTGATTAAGGGTCCGAAATTGTGTTTTTTTAATTTGAATATTTAAATGGCGTGTATTAATTATCCTTGTAACGACGAGGCGACGCGGTATATTTTTCGTTCAACTTGTTCTGTTCTCAAACAATTTGCGCTGAACGACAGTTAAATTCAGTGTCAATTTTAATGACATTGACATTGACTGTAGCCGCGCGCGCGTATATGTATATATATATAATATATATATATATATATATGTGTGTGTGTGTGGTGTGTGTGGTGTGTTGTGTGGTGTGTGTGTGCTGTGTGGTGTGCTGCTATGCTGACAGTGTGGTGTGGTGCGCGGGTGTGTGTGTGTGTGTGTGTGTGTGTGTGTGTGTGTGTGTGTGTGTGTGTGTGTGTGTGTGTGTGTGTGTGTGTGTGTGTGTGTGAGCGCGTGTATGCGCGCGCATGTGTACGTGCGTGCGTGCGTGCGTGCGTGCGTGCGTGCGTGCGTAGCGCGGTTTACCCGCTATATCGCAATTCGGCAGACGCAGAATTCCCGAACATCCATACAGTAGTCACATATCCTCAACGAATATCGCCTAGCCGCTTACAGAACAAGCAGCTGTTTCGCATGCCGACACTTAGGCAAACTAAATCTGCACGCAACGTACATGGTGGCTCTACATCTACCTTTACATATTAAAGGTAAACAACACATCGAATATCGGTCGATGTTATGCAACTATACAGAGGTGTCCCACGCGAAACACACGGCCCAGTTTTAACAACCGCGCGTATATACCATCCAAGATAATCCATATTATACGCTGGCTAGCCGTCTAACCCATAGAAATATATAGAGACATTAGTAAAATAGTCTAACTCGCATATTATTTCTGTGGTATAAACGCAGATTTTTTCCACATTACCCACACATTAATTCTCCTCTCGTTTCCTCCGCTAGGGATCTACCTCACCGTCGCCGTGGGAACACCCCAATATATCAACCATGATTATCCTCTATATAAACGATGATCTCTCCCCACATTGCTAACACATTAATTCTCCTCTCGTTTTCTTCCCGCTGCAGGGATTCAGCTCACTGTCGTCATGGGGATACTCCACTATACTGACCAATCTCTACATTAGTTAGTTAAATCCTTCCCGCGGCTATGCGGTGCCTATCTCCGTTTCAGTAACCCTGAGGCCCCGCAGCTGCTTTCACAGTAAATGCTACAGTAGGGGTTAGTCCACTGGTAAAAGCTCTACATTGCTAAAAAATTAATAATTCTCCTCTCGTTTTTCCCCGCCAGGTATCTACCTGACCGTTGTCATGGGGATGACGTCGGTGTCGGTCGTGATGACAGTGCTCGTGCTAAACTTTCATCACCGCGGTCCGAGCCGCAAGCCGGTGCCGGGATGGCTTCGTGGCCTCATCCTCAACCAACTCGCTATGCTAGTCTGCTTCAAGCCGTCGTATCAGCCGCGCTACAAGTCGCACCGCGATCTCTTCTACGCGCAGAACACCAGCAACGCCGTCAAAATGACGATCGAGAACTTCATGGACGACTGTCGGCTCGACTGCAATAACGGCGACTCGCCGACGACGGCGACGACCGACTGCTACAACGGCGTCGCCGACGGGAAGACCCGAAACGGCAACAACACGAGAAACCGACAGAAGAGCGGAAGTGGCGGTGGTTCGCCGTTTACGCAAAGCAATCGGCTTCAGGAGCAGATATTACGAAGCTTGCAGATACTCATAGAGAGGCAGCAGATGGACGATCAGATTGCAGACGTTGTTAACGAGTGGCGACAGCTGGCGCAGGTCGTCGATAGGTTCCTGTTTTGGATTTACCTGCTCGCGACGCTGTCGTTCACGATAGGACTGCTAGTGATAATGCCATTGACGAAAGAACCGTTCGATCCGAATAAGAATTGAGAGGAGCGGGTCGCCTTACCGTGTTATATGTTATATATATATCATATGTTTTATATATAATAAATAGATATTTATTAATAGATATTATATCAAGTATATCTACACGAGGTTGAAGTATAAGAGGCACCGTATTCAACGACAGTCTACACAGCAAGTGTGATAGGTAAAGATCCAACAGTAGTCCAAGTATATACTATAATATCAATATCACATATACCTATATAACTACCCTATCTATACTACTACTATATATCTACTATAATCCATGTACTACCCAATTATACTTATTCATTTGCCCTACCACCGGGAAGTAACTACACCTCCAATACCTATAGTACTTCATATCCTCCACAATCACCCATCCATACAAGATATCGTCAGCCCTCACTGGCTATGTACCCCATTCATACCTAAATATATAATCAATATCGCCCGAACCGGCACTATATAAATCTAACTAAATATATAAATATATATATATTTACTACTAGAAACTTAAGTGTGCTGTGGAAACGGCGATAGAATAGGAGGATGTTAATTCTTCGTTTAAGAGACAATTGCATTCATTCTGTCCTTGCTGGTATTCGCTAGTTAAACATCGTATACGCGTGTGTATAATTTCTATAGGATATAGGATTCTATAGGATTGTTATATATTTTGTTTTTACTTGAGATTTTCGCAGAGGTGTAATTAAGAGTCCCACGTGTAGTTCAATATAGGGGGAAAGCTTTTTGCACCGAAATGAAACGAGTTCACGCGTAAGGCGACAACGATCGGACATGTGACATGACATACGACACATGACACATGAGACATATCTATGCGTAGGAGTAAACGAGGCACACACACGCACACACGCACACGCACGCGCACGCGCACGCACACCAAAACCTCCCGACACGATCTCTAGTCGACCGTACGTCATCGAACGAGTTTTCTGAACGCATTTTCGCACACGATCACTTCGACTGAAATTCGGCAATTCGGCAGCAAATTTCCGCCACTCGCTAACGCAAATCATCGCTCGAACGGATCTTAATCCCCGCACACATAGAGCAGCGTCTGGGCGCGAGTGCTGCGCCCCCGTGCGGTGTCGAAGGGAAATACACGCTTCAGCTCGCTACAAAGCCTTTAGTCGATATGCATTAGCATGTGAGAGGAGCATACGGATATTGGCTCCTACGCTTACATCGGCTGATGCACTGAGATAAAGACGATCTATAGAGGTCCGTGTGCGTTCAATATACGTACCTATGACTATTAATGCGGTCCCAGACGCAAAATGCAGGCGCTTCTCGGAAATTGGTGTTGCTTGTGACCGCGAGAGAGAATTTTGCGAATTTCGTTGACACTTAGGATAGTCTCCCCTCCTGTTATTCTCAGATGGGGGGGGGGGTGATTCACTGTTGAATACAGCGAAGTCGGGTTATTTGCTCAAACAAACACGAATTCCGCGCATGCGGAAAACTCGCAACTTCGCAACTTAAAACTCACCATATTTACCTGAAACTATCAATTAGCAACGGAAATTAGCCAAAAACTATCAATTAGCAACGAGGAAGGCAGGAATCACGGTGTCACATTGCCATAGTACGTAAATCCATAGAACAAACTAAAGTTCAGGCATAAGCCACTACTAGGTTTTGACGTGTAACAGAGCCATGCACGCGTGGCAGTAATAGGTATGAGAGCCAGCCATGCATTTGGATCATATTGACCAGCATTGCCATGAGAACCACCGGCAGCGATGCATATATCGATTTAATCCCCCTTTTATTTGAACTGGCTGAAAGGGATGTTTTAGTAAAAATTCTAAATGGAGAGAGCGAGAGTACGTGTGTTGGGTGAAACCTATACACGATGCGTATCATGCATATGCGTTATTCGATTCCAGTTTTCCTCGCATCATAGTTTTCGGTGCTGATGGATATGAATAAATGTATGTATTTGAGCGAAAGATATGCGCGTGGGAATACCAACAGCCACGTACTAATGCACGAGCGTGAGTGATTTCTTCTCCCTCAACCTCTACTCACCTAAACACCCTTTGTTGCCTATTTTTTACTTTAAAAGTAAGTACTAACGGGATTAAACGTATAGTCAAATTCTTACCTGATAAGATTGTTTCTCAACTAGTTAAAAATCCAAAAAACCTGGACGATTTGATATTATGATCCTGACATTAATTGCTTGCTATGGACTATGTATGAGTCACGAATGTATGTTTACATCGAACAATATAGTAAAATAGGAAGTATAATGCAGCAATTTAACCATAACAAGTGAACAGAATTACTTAAATTTTGTGAAAAAATGGAAATATTTTTTTAACTGTTACTATTTACGGTGACGTAATCACTTTAAACTCCATAACTCATCTACCTAGAGTAAACTTTCTATTAGGTCAACTGAATGCTGACAATTACGGTAGTATTTAAAGGTGGAAACGTGACTAAAGTAAACTGGACAATCACTCGTTCGCGATGTGCCGGATAGAAAACGCGATAGACTTTAAGAAGCGCATCAAAACCATCCCGTGATCGCTATGCCAAGATTCCAAGAAATGGTTCAATTCCACGGATCACGTTATACATGTATACCGCCCTATTTTTGCCTATTCTAACGTCAACACCAATAGCGACTATTGTCTGACATTAACTAGGCGTAATATAAGTAACCGACTGTGAAGTATAGGATATAGGATTATTAACAGACCGTGGACATGGCGATATCATTAGTATAAACAGTAAGTTAGTAGTACAGTCTCTATAACATTTAAAAGAATTCGTATTTGTACGACTCCCATGTCAACGTATAGAAATGTGATTTTAAACGACTATATTATATATATATATAGGCATTATTTATCATATTATCGACATCATAACTATGTCTTTCTAATGAGCAATTTCTGCGAATATTATATTGCTTTTGGGTAAACATACGTAACACATGCTAACCCTATGTCCACTGCTGTGTTATAATCTGTTAACATAGGTTGTTAGAACAATAGCACGTGTACAAACACACTGCTGTAACATAGTTGATACGATAATTACGATTTTTTTTGTATTTAAAACATCTCTCACTGGGAATGTAAATCGTGTTTATAACATTCCATCGTGCGCACGATTAGACCGTGCATTAATTAATGTATTTGCATTTTTAATGCGCACGTGGTACTCTCTACGGTAACTACTCCGCCTGGAGTTTCTAAATCTCCGTTAGAAAAGTTCTAGCTGTCATTTCTCTCATTCGATAGATGTGAACAAAGTTTTCAGTGTAATTTTCGGCATAACCAGCGTACTTGGTATTACAGTAAACAAGAAGAGCCGATATATAACACAATAATATACACAGTACAGACGCCAATTAAGTCTCTGCACACAAGACTTCTATACAGTACAGTCCACAGACAACTACTAGTCCCAGATGATGAATCTTTGCGGTATATATATATATATTAACCAGCAGGATTCGCTAAGACTGTGCATCAAAGTCGTCTAGGCTTGTCACGTTGGTCGTGATTAAAATCGATCATAAATTACGGTGCGCTGACTATCTGTCCGATTTCTCATGTCAGTGTTTTGTGATTTTTTTTTGCGATTCCATCCATTCCCGTGATTACTTCGATGAAAAGTTAAGAAGGTCCTTGAAATTGCCGGCCGGTAATACTTCTTGTACTCTGGCACGATGTCACTAGCATTCAACTGCTACATAGGCTCGATCCAGCCAGTTCTAGAGTCCAATGAATATATAGCAAGAGCAGATAATAACCCTGGGTTATTATCTGCTCTTGATATATAGGGATATTATTATATATATATCAGGAGTAGATAATAGGGAATTCCCTATTATCTACTCCTGATGTATATATTATATATATTATATTATTAGGGATATATGGTGTGCAAGATGAACTGGATGTATAAGATACTGCATAAGTACGAGCCTATCAGGTCATAATACCACGAACTCACCTAACCACGCGATATCTCAGCTCAGCGCTCGCTGTTACATAAGTGCGCTAATGTTACACGTTAAAATAGTGTACGATAAAATAGTGTACGATAAAATAGTAGCAAATATAGGCTAGTTCTATCGATGATCATTATCAGTTGTTGAATACAACAACGCATTGTATATACATTGAAGAGGAGCATGTTGGCTTTCTTGTATGCGTATATGCAATGTAAAGAACGGTATATGTAACATAGGATGTCGTTATGAAGACGGGTCCGTGCTTTTGTACAGCACGCATGCACTGTACAATATACCTATTATTATTATCTATAGAAGCTACGATACGATTGTGTGCATGTGCGACATATGGTTTGGCTATTTTAAAATCAATAAACTATTCATCTATTTCACTAAAAACCACCAAATATTTTTTTTACTAAAACTTTACAAACCGTATTATCTTGAAAGGGCATAAAATGTCGATCGCAAATCACATGGTTTGTGCACAACCGCAAACATTTTCTCGAAAACCACTTAGAGCTCAAGTAAATTGCTAGGCTTAGCTAGTATTATGCAACATTTCTTAGTTTACCTAAATCCTCTAATTGATTAAAGAACAAATCCTCTAATTGATGAACATTCCGATACTTATAAACACCATCGGGAAGCGAATCGTACGAGAAATAATCGCTAACAATTAAAAAGGATATAGTTTGGTTGTAATTTCAGGATATGAAGTGCATTACCAAAAGGGGATTCCCGCATTGAAAATATTTCCTAATTTCACGGTGTGCGCTCGTATAAATACTAACAAACTATTATCTATTACGTTATTTATTGTTGTTGCATTTATAATCCTACAACACAAAAACATATATCACGAACATAAAGTTGAGAATGACATGTTTCCTAATACCCACTCTTAATTCATTACAGGTGATGAAATGCATACATACATTCTGCCTTTGCTTTTGAGCTGTTACATTTCTCAACACGAGACACGTACTAATTATCAACATTACAATTATAAATAATTTGCCTAAAGCGCTGCGCACATATCGACGATGATTATAGATTTCCGAGCTGTCACAACTTGCGTAAAATGGCATCAAAATTGGCCATATTTTTACCAAGATTCAGCATCATAATAATTACATAAAATTAACCAAAGTGTTGCAGTGATGCAGCGGCTGATAATCTTTTTCTGATAATTCTGAAACTACAGAACACCTTCAATAGCTCGGATTACTATAACTATGCTATTCCCATGCCATAGAACAATGAAACAAGTGTTGGGGGAGGGGGGCAATATGTTCAGGCACATCTAAGGTTGCTAATTTATACAAGTAATTTCTGGCCACACTAAAAGCTATACAGAAACTATCACTGTACAATGATACAGACGTCACATTACTGTTTATCTAGGCTTGTTGTACAGAGTGACAAGGACACATGGCCGTACTCCCTTCTCTGCTGATGTTACCCTATATAATAATTTAAACAAATAAGAACAACATGAAATATTGTTTTAGGTGTTATTTCTCAATATTTTCTCTCTAGTTCTGTACATTACAAAGACTACGAAATCGTCTTGAGCAGCGTCAGTTGCAACTTTCCGAGCGGCTGCCCGTGTTAGCTGGCGTCTACTAACCTACACTCAGGGCCTGGATGACAGCTCTTCAGTATTCCACTCTGCACTTGTTATTACATGTTGATGAAACTACAGCAGTAGCTGACACGCTGGTAAAAGTCAGAGCTTTGCTAACCTCGCTTCTGCATGATGGTAATAGTGTGATCAGTCCTCCCTACTATTATATACTGGTAATAATGAGCAGCCTGGAATGGTACTCCGCACTTCAACGAGACGGTACTGGAAGAAAAAAGACAAAAAAAACTTATTCAGTATATCCCTATTTCCTCTATCGCGATTTACATGATACTTATAATGTAATAGTGGCACTTTACGCAGAAAACGAAGGAAAGAATTTATTCTATACATGCTCGCTCTGTTCTACCCAGATTGTCCACGTTTTTGTAGCACCTTGATTAAATTAGAATATTTATCATTCAGAATTTAAATGTCTGGTCACAACTCTGCAACCATTTTTTCGGTTAACTGAACTGACCAGTAATATAAGCTGGCTGGATCACTAGTTGCACTTACCTACACAAGGCTACAGGCCATCACTAGCTAGTTCCTGCTACATCAATGACAATCTTGCCCAGCAAATGTCCTCCTGTAACCCTTTCATATGCTAACGGAAGCTCATCAAATGCGTACACTCTCTCCACATTTGGGCTAATCTACAATTAATTAAAGTCCCTATTAGTAGACGTGCGACTCAGTTTCACAAGTGTCTTACAGCACTGTGGCGCCATCGTGTGGCCATAATACAGAATAATTGCACAGCATGTGAAGAATATTAAAACACGTTGATTACATTACATAACAAATAGATAGATACAGTGGCGTAGTTAGTAGAGGGAAAAGGGGGCCATGGCCCCACTGTTGATCCGAAAGTTAAAAAAAGAATTGTTCTACTAAAAAGAGAATTGTCGTAGTCAGAATGAAGGCTGTACTCAAAGGTGCCTCAAATACCATCTCCTGCGATTTACATTTTCAAAATTTTCTGGGGGAGGACCCCCATACCCCCCCCCGCCTGTTTTGCACCCGCCTCCTTCGAATCCTGGATCCGCTACTGAACAGTTACATATCTTGGGAGCAGAGAACAACAAACAAAAATATCGCCTTTCTGCACGGCGCCCAAAACAAAGATTGCAGAGAAGAGAAGTGGGGGAGCGTAGGGTGTGGAGAGGGAGGCGGAGGAACCATTAAAATCCACTATTTTGCGCAGTTTGCTGTTTCTGGCCCCCCCCAGTTAAAAAATCCTGGATAGATAGACAGTAAAAAAAGAAGCACTGCACCTGATGCTTGTCTATCAAGTCAGCAACTGTAGATAGCGCTTTTCCATGAGGCTGAAAGAATGCCCACTTATAGTATTTGCCTTCCATCAGCCCCTGTATATAAAAACATATAGACAAACCTGGTTACTAATGCCAAATAAGAAATCTGCATTTAATCTTGTACAGTCAGTACTAAGACAACGATTAAAGTTAGTTCATGTGATCTATTCTCCCAAGAGGCAAGATAGATATCAATATACTTAGACACACAGCAGTGGTCTAGTTTTCGAACTTCATGCATTGTCATGCATGGCGATTCAATACTATTAGCAAGGATTCAATATGCTTTAGTTGGAACAGTGCAATGAATAACATACAGTCAAGCCTGTATACAACGGTCACTCAAGCTGAGAGGGTCTATGTCCCCCGGGGTACTGCCAGAACGTACCCTGGGTACGGTCTGGTATACCGGAACGTACCCTGGTACTATCTAATATGCCGAACCGTACCTCGCCTACTCCACTAACAAGTCTAGGGAGTCGCCTACGCCTACTCCCTAACCCGAACCCTAATCCTAACCCTAACCCTAATCCTAACCATATCCAATAGTGACCAGGGTACGTTCCGGCAGTACCCTGGGGGACATAGACCCTATGAGCGTCACTCAATGTAAATGCTAAAAATTCAATTATATGCAGGTGTCTGTTCTATCGAGTTAACCACTATCACAAGTTTTGACTGTATGCACACCACTGCACTCTAGCGCCATCTACTGAAGAAAATAAACTATTATTTAAAAAACGGAAGAATCGGCACTGATAACGGAAGGTAGGATTTCCGGCATCATATAGCTCGATGCTTCTACCTCGTTAGCTGCTAATTACCGAACGATAACAAAATCAATACCTGCAGTGTCTTAACTCCTAGAATACTACAGGCTGTAGCAGAGCCAGCTATCAGACCTAGCGAGTCAGTGCTGGACAACATGGGCGTATCAATACTGATATATTGACTGTTGTTCCACGACTTCAGCACATTTATCGCCTGAGCATACTTGCCGCTGCCGACATTATGCAGTATCACGTCAAAGCTGGCATGGGTAAGAAAAACATGCATCTACTTAGTGAATAACTTCAATTTGTCTACGAGAACAGAATATTTTCCCGAGAGTAATAGTTATATAACCAATCTGCATCTGCAATTTGTGATAACAGTAACTGGAAAATATTCAATTCATCTTTCGAAAAAAGGAATAATGATAAAGTTGAACAAAAAATTGATATAGCTATTCACCTTTATGGGACATAGCAATTCAGCTTTCGAAAAGATACTAATCATAAAGCTAAACAATAAATTGATATAGCTATTAATCATCATAGAGCCACACACACACACTCACCCCTCGTATTTCTTCAGTTCAGTTTCCACATGATCGCTCTCGTAGTTGACGATGCAGTCTGGTCCCATGCTTGCGACTGTGTCGATCGCAGATGTCGAACACAGGACAGTCACATTCGCTCCCCACGCTTTCATAAGCTGCAAGAAACATTACGCACTGACAGCAAACACGGAAAACGTATATCTTCATACCGAACGCATCTTAATTAACCAGTTATGTGAGCTACATTCCATGCTTTTGCTTTTCCGAGTTGCTTTTAATGGACAAGGGGTAAACAATATGATGCATATTACGCAGACCACTGTGAATATATCTTGCCTTGATATAAATATCACTAACACATCTATGAACATCAGAACTGCACAGTAACACCTCACCTGCTCACCTGTATAGCAAAGTTGCCTATCCCGCCAGACCCTGCCAATATGAGCACTCGTTTCATGGGCGTATTTCGCGGGTGAAGGCCTCCCATTGTGCAAAGGGCTGACCAAACCGTACATGCCACGTAGGGAAACGAAGCGGCGTCAACGTGCGAAAGGCTGGACGGTTTACGTGACACCTGAGAGAGAACGCGGAACATTGTCACTCATGGGTAAACCTCAAAGCTCGATAAAAACAACGACCACACTCAAATTTCCCAGCGGCATTGAGGGCATTTGCCATTGCTCTCCCTACTCGGAACAATGCCTATAAAAATTGTACAGTACTAGCATGAATAAACTACCATGGCTGCTTTTTCAGGTTTGCAAAAAATAGATTATTTAGATTTTCTACTGGCTGATTCTCCTTATATAGTTATAATAATATTTATTATTTTAAACAATTCCTTCAAAATAAGGCCTGAAATGGATCCAGATAGTACAAAATAACAAAAATCGGAACCTGGGTAAGCTTTAAACGCCAGCCTTAGAATACGGTTCCAACCAAAACTACCTCTCACTTCCAAAAACCTCAATAAACCCTGACATTGAAAGATTTACCGCCGATGCTGCTGTGAGGACATAATCAGCATGCGTTCCGGGCCTGTGTGCTGCGACTGCGCTCCATACCTGAGAGAGAAACCTGCGGACACTGAATATCTCACACATGAACAGAATACACAGTTATCATAATGATATCAAATTAATGATCATCTAGAAATGATGAACAAAAATGGAAATAAGTTAGCTACGGGGAAAGACACCGATAGCACATTTGTAAAAAGTGCCCCAATTTCTCTTAATATATCAAGCAAGTGACACTGATTATGAATATTATTAAAGCCATTATGAAAGCAATACATAGGTGCTAACAAAGGAAATCCACTTTGTGCTTGATATTGCAGCCAGTGTACGCAACAAACAACTAAACGTAAATGTCATGTATTTGTCCACCGATGGCCAGAAGGTCTCGCGACAGCATACCCACGTACCTCGTCTCCAGGCCGATAGTTTGTCACGTTGCTTCCCGTAGCAACAACGGTGCCAGAGCAGTCCCTGCCTGGTGTCAGGGGAAGCTCCTTGACACTACACGCCATGCCGTCCATCTGCCGCATGGTGTGAATAAGCTTTCTACCGTAGCCACCTGCTTAATGACATTCCCAAACATATAACTTACTTAATGTGGCACAGGAAATGTAGTTCAGAATTAGAAACAGTACGCTATACCTGGAGTAAACTAGCTAGGCATAAGGCAATGATTATAGGAACATGTACATTCTATAGACATTGAGTGTATAGGCGTTTCCTCAAAATAGAAGGAATCTGTATAATTGACTCATGACACCAAGAAAAGCTGGGTCACCCCCCTATATGTTTGTAGCTGGTTGCAAACATATTACATTAATGTTTTCGATAGTGATTAAGCACACAGAGTTACCAGGCGTACAGGAGATGACTCTCCCAATACCTTAGCATGTAAAACTACAAACCTGTCATTTTGATGTCAATTGGATTGACACTTGCAGCAGAAACTTTTATTAGAACATCATTAGGGTCAGTTATGACCGGTATCCTGCCATCAACTGCCATTTGCATGCTGCCTCCATATTTATGTACGGCCCAGCTTCTGCAAGTTTGATTACACGCCGAAGAACTGCATGATCTATACGAATGCCGGGAGATGCAATGCTCAGAGCCCTGAAAGTATACAAGAAATTGATGCCAATGAAAGCATATTTAGTATGGTGGTAACAAGTTGAAAATCCATAAAACAAAATCCAAAATATACGACAAAAACAAAAATGGCAGTGCAAGTTTATTTGTGTTTTATTAGGCGTGTTCGGCGCGTCGGCGCCTTCTTAAGCACGGGAATTTAGGTAGTCAATCTCGTGCATGCAAGTGGAACGATGTCGATAAATATCGGCATCAACAAACTGATGCTGAGAGGGTCTATGTCCACCAGGGTATACCGGAACGTACCCTGGGTACAGGGCAGCAGGCCTACGGCAGTACCCTGGGGAACATAGACCCTATGAGCCAAACTGATCAATGTTGAAAGTAGCTCTAGAGTACTATAGCCCGCTTACCGTTGCCGCAGGCCTGCTGCAACTGTACGCGGGCTATACTATAATACTAGAGCTATGTTGAAAGTCTCATTCTTCAATGATGCTGAACGGGGCTGAATTGGGAGTGGTAATCGGGAACAGAAAAGACACATGAAACATTTTAACGGCGAGAATGCCAACAACAATTAGGCCTATTCTCGAATTCTGTATTCACCTTCACTAAATTTCTAAATAGTCGAGTAGTTACAATGTTTTTCGCCATTCTATCAACAAATGTTATGTTATGTTTAGCTCCAAGAAACGGTCTTTGCTAGGGCTAGAAGACGTGTGTATATAGACGTTAGTCGTTAGTCACACAGCCTCTCTATGTGCGCAGCCATGTTGTTTGGTATTATACAGTGGCGCCACCATGTACGAGCCAGGAGCACGAAGGAATGTCGGAATTTTCCGAGCGAATATCATATTTCGCGCCACCAACCCGATACCCGATACCGCACCCCATATTTAGAAGCCAATACTATAAAAAATAAATCAAATGCCTTGCTAGATTATGTACATTTTCTTTGCTGTTGGCGGGCGCTAGTGTTGCGATATATATATATATAGCCCCAATGCCAGTAGAGAGCTCATACTCAGTTGTAGTTACATATAAAAAATGTCAATCCAAATGCCTAAGCTTATTAATTATGAAGCAGTAAATCTTTCAAATCGCTTTAGAAGGTGTAATTGAATATAGCTACAGACGTGTCAGCGCGCAAGCCGATTATCTGTTAAAAGTAATAACTTTTTGTTGAATTTATTTATTTAAAACATAGCGGACATACTCGGGTTTAGTTTTCTATTCAGCCCTTAACAAATAATACTGTGCCCAATAGTCTCAATATTCCGATTCTCAGGTACTCAAGTATGGTTTGTTTAAAAAAAGATTATTGCGGTGTTTCATTTTTGTTAAGCACATCACCCAAACCACATTGAAACTGAAAATATCTCCTTATAACAATATAATATATTTCACGTACGTTCTAAACAAGCTTGAGTATGGGCGTGCGCGTATGTGTGTACGTGCCTATATGTGAATGCGGGTGTGTATAAATTAAAGTGAGCACAAGGTAATTCTGAACATTCCAACATAAGTCCAAGTATTTTCTAATTTGTCTAACGTTCATTTTTTATTTTGGCAATTATTTAATTACACATTTTTTACACTCGTCTTAACGTAACGTACATGTAAAACACCGATTCGTAAGGTTCACCGCTTAGGAAATCACGCTTTGATCTCTCAATCTTTTATTTCCCAAGATTCATTATCGAATTTTATGCGATTGTTTTTACATGTGGTTATATAACGCATTACACAACGTTATACAACGTCGCCTTTCTGCTAGTACATTTACAGTATACCGATCTGCATAATGATACCATATGACATTACATGCGTGCATGGGTCGGGTGCACGCATTTTGTGTGTGATAAACAATACATCTAGGCCCGTAGGAACGCTACGCACGCAATCGCTCGTTACGTACCTGCTTAAGATGCACGCACACGCACACACACACACATAGTTGTAGTTATAGTATATTTATATTTATAGTCAGTTTAAATTCGATAACCTCTGGTACTGAGCAGGTAATGGCGGCTGCAGTTGCCTTCTCCTCTGGCGCAGTTCCAGCGTCGCCGCATCTCGTCCGTCATGGCAGCATTCCTGATGACGACGAACTTCTGAGCGTCTCTCTTGGCTTCCTCCTGGCTCCTTTCGGCTTCCTCTTGGCTCCTCTTGACGAACGACTGCTGCTGTGAGGGATGCTTCTTCCACGTGTCGGCGCGTGCGGCGAGCGGTAAACCTGACGCGAACGGCCTGTACGCCGACTCAGCGAAGTAGTTGCCGTCGTCTCCCCGCCACGCGGCGCTGGCGTCGTTGTAAAGCGCTTCGTTGTAAAGCTCTGCGTTGTTGCTCCCGCCATCTTTGTTTTCGTAGCTTCTCGTCTGCAGGCCGGACTGCTCGCTCTCGCTGCTGACGTCACGTTTGATGAGTCGCTGCTGATTCATCATCTCCATGCGACGCCGCTGCTGCCGGGCGATGGCCCGCTGCCGCTGCAGCAGCTGCAACTCCCGTGGACTGCCCGCATGCTGAAGCCAATATGCCCTCGCCGGCGTCGGCTCATCAGCCGGCGACGACGCCGTATCGTCAGCGTCGCTCGTCGTCATCTTGCCGTCCGTGCGCATGCTGTTTAGCAGACGCTCGCAGGCCGTGGGCGGTGGGCGGGCGGCCAGGGTGGAGCCGAGTATGCACGCGAGGACCACGCACAGGGTGACCGATCCGAGCGTGAGGGCGGCCATGATCGCGAGCTGGAATGAAATCACGGACGCGAGTTTTAATGTCTGCGATGAAATTAATTTAAAGAAAAATTAATTTTTTATTAAGAGAAAATTTGAATTAATTTGGAGAGTTTGAATGTCTGAGATAAAAACGTGTGATACAGTTATTCAGTTGGCGGTAAATTTTAGTTGATGATAGATTATCAACGAATCTATCTATCTATCTATCCTTCTATCTATCTATCTATTTATCTATCTATCTATCTATCTATCTATCTATCTATCTATCTATCTATCTATCTATCTATCTATCTATCTATCTATTTATATATATATATATATATATCGAAAAAGAGAGCGAGAAAGAGCGAGAGAGAGAGAGAGGGAGAGAGAGAGAGAGAGAGAGAGAGAGAAGAAGAGAAGAGAGAGAGAGAGAGAGAGAGAGAGAGAGAGAGAGAGAGAGAGAAGAAGAGAGAGACGAGAGAGAGAGAGAGCAGCGCCTCACCAGGCGCCCTCCGTCGCGTGGCACGGGGAGAGAGCACGAGAAGAAGAGAAGAGAGATACAGAGAGGAGAGAGTGAGAGAAGAGAAGGGGGATGTGGACGAAATAGAAGAGCACTAAGCGATAATAAGGAAGAAAGGAAAAAAGGATTTGCACAGAAGTGTGAAGACTAGAGCGGAGAGACTATGTGAGTGTCAGGGTTCTCTATATTCTATCAGCTAAAAAAATGACAAAACGATAATAATAAGCGAGTAATATATATAGTGCTACTCTAATAAAAAGGTGCCTCTTGTGAATGCTGACAAACGCTGCCTGTCCACTTCTCACCGTATGTTGGCGAGCATGCGTAGATGTGAACTCCTAATTACGTCTTCACCATCAGCGGAATAACGTAGAAGTCGATCTAACACGATTAGTGCGCTCCAACTCTAGTTACTTTTTCTTTCGCGTCTTTTCTTTCTTTTCTTCTATCTTCTTCTATCTATTTTTTTTTTCTCTTACTTCTTCTCTTCGGCTTCTTCTTCTATCTCTTCTTCTCCTTCTTCTTCCTCTTCTTCTTCTTCTTCTTCTTCTTGCTTACTTGTCTTCTTCTCCTTCTTATTCCTTCGCCTTCTTCTTCTTTGCTTCTTCTTCCTGAAGCCGCTTCCCTCTCTGCTGCTCACTCTGCAACGTCGACTGCTGCCCGTCCTCTTCTGGCACTGACGCTACTGCGCGAGGCGCTAATCACCAGAGCACGAGGTAATTGTGCGAAAGAGCGAGGAGGAACGCGGGTACACACACCACACGCAGACAAAAACACACAGCCTGATGAGAGGAGGGGTATGTAGTGACGACGGAAATGCGCCAGACAACTCGGCGGCCTTACTGCCTTTGAAAGGGCTTCGCGCCACGCCAACTCCCTCTTGCACGTCGCACAGCGTCGTCACTTCGGCAACGGTGGCAGCTTAAATGCAGATGCTCAGTCTCCCCTTAGGCGATAAAACGCCGGCTCGGACAGCACGCTAGCAGCGCGTCACGAAGCCTCTTCCGTCCCTAACCGTGCGCATATAAAGCTTAAGTGCACGTCCTAATAAATTAGCGGTGCCGAGACGGGCGGGTGTTAATTGCAGTGTATCCACTTACGAGACGTCGCAGTCAATCAATCAGCAAGAGAATGATGACAGTAGAAATGCGTTATCGCGCAGCTGCGCGCGCGCGCGACATGTGTGATGTTAAAAATGCGAACGTTTTTTTTATATTTCTCGCCGAACTTAACGAGCGCTGAGCTACACGTCGTGAAACATTAGCGAAAACCTTGCGCGCGCGGCGCTGATGCATATGGTAAGATCAATGAGAGTTAAGAGGTAAATTAGAGAGAGACGTCAGCGGGATGGCAATCGTGCGCAGATCCGTCGTCGTGGGTGGTATGCGTGTCACGTGTGAATGCCAATGAGTATGCTGCATATCACCAGTTCCTCCACTCGCCAACATTCAGTTAAGAACTTGGATTGAAATCATCGGTAGACGACGAACCTAAATGAGAAACCGAGAGAATATGCGGCGATACTTGTTATTATATCAGGGCACATAATACCAACGTGAATAATAATAGGACATAATAAATAGTATATAATAACTTATAATATAGAAATCTCATTATATATTTAACTCTGTAATAGTATACAAGTAACGATCACCGATTGTTCGTAAGCCTTATTTCGGGTTCAAGCCTTGTCAGAACGAAGCATATTTTGTCGGACCAACAGAGAACCACGTCAAGAATATTCAACAAATGTATACTCCAAACATTTGCCAAACATTCTGTTAGCACGATAGAGACGTTGCAGTTGAGTCCAATCGCGTACAACGCAATGGGGAACTGCAATAGTCGTGTTGTATATCAGAAACACATAATTACTGTTATATATATTTAATAATGAGCTTTTACAAGATGTAATGACAAGATAGTAATTGTGAAACTCTTAGAAGATATGAGAAATGCAAGTGAGAAAACAACACACAACACACACACACACAGCACAACACACACACACACACCACACACACACACACACACACACACACACACACACACACATGTTATGAGAATTCAGCTACTGCCAAAATTAAAACTACGTACACGTTTCGTTAAACTTAACTTTAACTTTTAACTTAAAAAAAACAACAAAAGTTACACAGCAAGACGAACGCATCATTACTTAACGTTTCACATTTACCTGGCTGTGTTTTACCTTTCACTCCATTTACCTACGAGCCACGTTCATTACGACACGGCATCAGATATACATAATTTATGTACAAGAGCTAATTTGGAAAATATAATTAACAGAAGAAGATGGACTTGGCTCGGTCATGTCGCCCGGATGAAAGAAGGTGTTATAGCGAAAACGGCACTTAGATGGACGCCAGACGGGAGGAGAAGAAGGGGAAGACCCAAGGAGACCTGGAGAAGGACCATCGAGAAGGAGATGCGGATGTGTGACCTGTCACGAGACACGCCGAGGCCAGTAGCAGCGGACCGACGACGTTGGAGATCTCTTGTCACTGTCTTATGT